CCCTGGCCATGTGGCCATGGGGAATAAACCAGCCAATGGAAGATTTCTCTGTTTCTCCTTCTGTCTATGTAACTTTATCTTTCAAATAAATAAATAAATCTTTAAAACTAAAAATATACCTTTTAATTACCTTTATATGATGAATTCCCTTTAGTAAGCCTTTTTTTAAAAGATTTATTTTTATGTGAAAGAGTTAAAGAAAGAGAGGAAGAGAGAGAGATCGATATTCTATCTGCTGATCACTCCACAAATGGCCACAATGGCCAGAGCTGGGCTGGACCAAAGCCAGGAGCTTCATCTGTATCCTCCATGTGAGTGGGAAGGAACCAACTACTTTGGCCACTCCCCACTGCTTTCCCAGGCACATCAGCAGGGAGTTGGATCAGAAGTGGAGCAGCTTGGACTCGAACCAGTACTGGAGCAGCTTGGACTCGAACCAGCACTGGAATAGTATAGTGGCATCACAGGCAGCAGGTTAACCTGGTGCACCATAATGCTGGCCCCAGCAAGAAATTATTTAAGATTAAAGGGTTGATAAGTAAATGAAATATTAAATTAGTCCAAACAGGAATTATTTTGTTTACTAGTTTAAATAAGCATTACAGTTTTTAAAATTGGTTAGAGAAATGAAGCAGAAAACAAAACTTTAGAAGTACTAATAACACTAAAAATGCACGCCATTATAAGGAAAAGATCCTCCAAAGCCATCTACACATTTTAAAGCTTTATTCATGATAACATGAATGTAATTAAAGTCTAAAAGTGTATTACTATAATTTACTGAATGGGATTACTTTTAATACTGCTAATTCCCAGCTGTTTAACTAAAGCAATTTAATGAATATTAAACCCAGTGAAACAGTTTAAGGTTACTGGCTGGTACTGTTTACTCTTAGCCTGTGAGAATACCAACACACACCTACTTGAGATTTAAAAAAAAAAAAAAATTCCAGTGAATCTGATGGAAAAAACAAAGTGACAGTTAAAGTGAGTGATAAAACTAAATATTCACTCCCAAAAAAGCAATAAAACCAAAAATATATTTTCTGTGAACAAAGTAACAATAACAAAAGCAAAACATCAGTTGATGATTTTTGTTCTTCTGATGAAGATTCATCTCATCAGATATAATTTAGAAACTTATTGTGAACAATAGTTGTACCTGGAACTTTTCATATAGTTTGTGGCCATAAAAACAAAGGATAGAGACACAAAACATTGGCCGTCCTACTCAGGCACCAGCCCTGAAGCTTCTGATAAGATGTGCACCATGATCTGAACATACTATGTCCCTCTCTCCAGATACATGAGTAACAAACCCAAATACTGGCAAGGCCAAGTACAAAAATCTAAAGGAATGACAATGGCAATGATAAAAGATGTTAGAAACATGTTGGGATCTTTGAAAGTAAATACCCTAGCAGAAAGCACTCAAATTCAGTATTTGAAAACATTGTTTATCAAAATAATGTATATTTGTAACTAAATTACCCCAAGAATTCAAAGTTGTATTGAATTTTTGACATTCTCTTTATTGTCATTTCCATCAATTTCTTCCCATGTTCTTCCTCCCAAAAGCTATGATTTCTGGGCTAGCACTGTGACATAAGGAGTAAAGCCACTGCATATAATGCCAGCATCCCATACAGGTACTGGTTTGTGTACCGACTGCTCTACTTCCTATCCAGCTTCTGCTAATGGCCTGGGAAAAGCAGCTGAAAATGGCCCAAGTGCTTTGGCCCCTACTACCCACATGGAAGACCTGGAAGAAACCCCTGGCTCCTGGCTCCTGGCTCCTGGCTCCGGACTGGCCCAGCCTCAGCTGTTGCTACCATTTAGGGAGTGAACCAGCAGATGGAAGAAATTTCTGTCTCTCCCTCTCTCTGTAACTCTTTCAAATAAATATTTTAAAAAATCTATAATTTTGTCACCTATATCTCTACAGCTCTTTGTTTTAGCATGTAATATGTGTCATGTATGGGAGTTATTCTTGCAAAAATTTTTATCTCCTCCACTAAATTTGGGGCGGTGATCTTTTTTTATTTTTGAATCCTCCAAAAGGACAAAATGTAGTATTTTATACAAAAAACATGTGCCACACACATTTATAAAACTGAATCAAAACTCATCCTTTTCTGGTTATGTCATGTAGCACAAAACATGAAAGATGTTGGCCATGAATACCAAGTGACTTACTGATCTCAGTCATAGTGAGAGTTCTTGATATAAATCAGTATGTGCTGAGAGCTGGCACTTGACACAGCAGTTATGTTGCCCAGTTAGCATGCCCACACCCCATACAGAAGTACTGAGGTTCAAGTCCCAGCTCCACTCCCAACTCCAGCTTCCAGTTATTGTGCACCATGGGAGGCAGAAGGTGATGATGATTCACCTGCCACCCATATGGGATATGCAGTATGAGTTCCTGGCTCCCAGCTTCAGCTAAGCCAAGCCCCAGCCATTGTGAGCATTTGAGGAGTGAATTAGCAGATGGAAATGCACTCACTCTCTCTCTGTCCTCTGCCTTTCAAATAAATAAAATAAATGAAAAATTATTTTTAAAAAGTCAGTCTATGAAATCGCATTTAGAAATATTCCAGAAATGTTACAGTGTGGTAAATTCAGATTAGAGAAATTCAACATTTAGGCAATAAACATCTACTTCATCATTGAACAGTGTTTAAAATACTATGAGACTCTACAATATTAAATATATATCTACATAGTTTCAGTACCCCCTTGGGGGAAAGACTTTTTTACCTTAAGATGAGGTTTAGGAAAAACTCATGTTTATTTGCCAGGCTGTTGAAATTGAATAAACAAGAAATTGAGAAAATATATTACAAATATCTAAACAACCAAAAATGAAGGAAAAGTTCAAAAAAAAAAAAAAAAAAAGCCCTCTTTAAACCTCTTTAAACCTGAGATCAGAAAGCCTAAGATTTTTAAAACTGGGTAAAGAAAACCTTTTAGACATAGGATTCAACAGTTTCTAGGAAAATTAAACCTGTAGTAGAGCACTAATATCAGCTGGATTATGTAAACTGTTTGCTAAATTGGCCATGTTTACTCCTTCTAGGTATTCACACCACTTTCATAATTCGGCTCCACTTCTAATCCAGAGGTAGCCTGTTTCCCCATCCCCTTGAATTTGGGTTGTCGTTGTGACCTGCTTTGGTCAGGTGAACATGGCGAAAGTGATGGTCAGCTTGTTGCAAGGCTTGATCTCAAGAAGCCTTGTACAATTCCATTCTGTCTTAGAACCACACTGCTGCCATGTGAACAAGCCCAAGTCAACCTGCTGGATCATGACAGACCTGTGGCATTCTCATCCATCACCCAAACAATATGTGACTTAAAACAGGCCCCACATACGTGAGAGAACTCAACCAAGACCAGAAGAACTATCCCGAGCTTAAAATGCCAATTCCAGAATTATAAATGGCTATTGCATTGTTATTCGTTACATTTTTCAAATTATTTATTTATTTGAAAAACAGAAATTTCCTATCTGCTAGTTCACTCTTCAAATGGCCACCAACAAGCAGGTTTGGGCCAGGCCAAAGCCAGGAGCAAGGAACTCCAACCAGGTCTCTCAGTGGGTGGCAGGGGCCCAACTACTTGGGCCATTTTCTGCCTTCTCAGGTGCACTGGCAAGAACGTGGTAATAGCATAGCACTAGCCAGCACCGCAGCTCACTTGGCTACTCCTCGGCCTGCGGCACCGGCACCCCAGGTTCCAGACCCAGTTGGGGCGCCGGATTCTGTCCCGGTTGCTCCTCTTCCAGTCCAGCTCTCTGCTGTGGCCCAGGAAGGCAGTGGAGGATGGCCCAATTCCTTGGGCCCTGAACCCGCAAGGGAGACCAGGAGGAAGCACCTGGCTCCTGGCTTTGGATCGGCGCAGCACGCCCACCATAGAGGCCATTTTGGGGGTGAACCAATGGAAAAAGGAAGACCTTTCTCTCTGTCTTTCTAACTCTGCTTGTCAAAAAAAAAAAAAAAATAGCATAGCACCCTGGACTCAAACTGGCACTCCCATAGCAGATGCTGGCATAACAAGCTGAACCCTCTGCGCTGCAACACTGGGCCCTGGCTCAGATATTTCATTATGTAGCAAAGCTCATACTCAGAGGAGATCACAGTATGAGAGGAACAAGGAAGTTATCTGGAAGACAAGAATGCTGCCATTAAATTGGGAGCCAACACATAGTCACAAAAGGAGAAGAGGGTAGGGGCATGAACTAATCCTGGAGTTGGGCTAACATAAGATTAGATAATAAAGGTAGGTTGTCCTTTCATTGTGAAGGAATAAAATCTATCCAACTGCTACCTTCCTTCAAAGCTCAACTCAAGTAACAATTTTTTAACAATTTTTTTTTTCTGATTGTCCTTCGTCATGGTGATCTTTCCTTCATTAGTTATGCATAGACAATAAATTATATTGGAAAGAGGCCTGGACTTTAATCAGTAAATCTAAATTCATATGCTGGTTTTTATCAGCTATGTGTCCTTGGGCAAGCTTCTTAAGTCTTTGAATGTGATTCCTGAACTTTTAACTGGAACTTAATGGCTCTGAATCTCACAGGATAGCTGTTGAGAATTAAATTCCGAATGTGTAAACATGCTAAACCTTAAGTCCATACTCAAAACATTCAAGGGAATTTTAATTTCATTCATTCAACTTGATTAAATTCCCAGTGTATGTCAGGCTCCGTGCAAGAAACTAGGATAAAGGAAATCACTATTAATGTTACTATATACAACTACTATCCACTAACATTTTTTTCCTGAGTATAGAGCTGAAATTAGAATAAGGTTAAAAATTAGTCCTTACAGCTCTTCATCTTTCTCTGAAGCATACAGGATAGTACCTTTAGCAGTGACAAAAATATCTGTGGACAATCTGTTTAAAATGTGGTCAATTTTCTACATTTAACTTCTATATCTCAAAGCAAAAGCAGGAGGATCACCGCCTTTAAGCACAGCTGAAAGAAGACTCACTTGACAGCTCACATCCATTCCTGCCTCCAACAGCACCTGTACCACTGCTTTGTGACCATTGCGTGCAGCGAGGTGAAGCGGCGTATGCTTTCGGGTGTTGCAGCTCATTAAGTTTGGGTGTGCGCTGATGATCATTTTGACCACTCTGAGCCGTCCATAGAGTGCTGCCAGGTCCAAAGGGGTTTCAAGCTTGCTGTTCCTGATCGTAGGGTCAGTGAGCTCCTCCAGGAGAACCGCAACTACTTCTGAGTGTCCATATTGGGCTGCACAGTGCAGGGCCGTTTCATTTTCATTATTCTGTGTAAGAAAAAAAGATATAAAAGGCACATTTTCAAAAATCGGGTTATCAGAATAGACACAATTTAAAGCTGAGATGCCCTGAAAATGTCATTTTAAGATTTATCTATTTTTAATAATTATGCCTAATTGAATTTTATATTTGATGAAAGTATTTATCATTCATTGCATCAAAATCACATCTTGTATTTTTCATTTTAATGAGGCAAATCAAAATTTTCCCTGAATCACATATTCCAAATTCCAAGAATGATAAATGATTTAGCCTTGTTAATCAGTGGTCCTGCTGGGTCCAGATGGCCAGTGGTATCTGTGCTGTGTGTCACTTTCTCTGTGTCAATGGTTTATGAAAGAGATAAAGAACAATTACAGCACACTTTTAAAAGACTGGCTTTCTTAAAGGCAATTAAGATGTTAAATTCTTAAAAAAAGAAAGATTTACAGAAAGATTTACAGAAAAGTTTCCCAAATAAAGTGTCATTTTATTTTCCATGTAAGTATAAATCATTGTAGTTTTTGCAGAGAATGAAAATTTTCTGGCCCTAAGATATAACAGCATCTTCATGAGATAGAATTATGGGTTGGCTGGCGCCGCGGCTCACTAGGCTAATCCTCCGCCTTGCGGTACTGGCACACCGGGTTCTAGTCCCAGTCGGGGCGCCGGATTCTGTCCCGGTTGCCCCTTTTCCAGGCCAGCTCTCTGCTGTGGCCAGGGAGTGCAGTGGAGGATGGCCCGAGTGCTTCGGCCCTGCACCCACATGGGAGACCAGGATAAGTACCTGGCTCCTGCTGTTGAATCAGCACGGTGCACCAGCGGCCATTGGAGGGTGAACCAACGGCAAAAGGAAGACCTTTCTCTCTGTCTCTCTCTCTCTCACTGTCCACTCTGCCTGTCAAAAAAAAAAAAAAAATTAAAAAAAAAAAGAATTATGGGTTAAGAGCTGGACCTAGAGCACTTCCCAGAAAAATTATCCAACAATAGTATCATAGTACTACATGTGCAGCTGTAACTATTTCACAGTTGAAAATTAACAATATTTTCCTGTACATTTAATAAGATTAAAAAAAAACTGCTAAGAATAGAGAAAACTGAAACCAGTTGCCAGGCACATTGTCCTTTCAAACCACTTGGGCAGATGGGATAGAAAGATGGGATCTGAGTATGTCTAGAGGTATAAGGGTCAGTTAGCAGGAATGTGAAGAAGAAATTTTTAACAACAAACATTCAATGATCCTAAAGAAGGGTTTGAGGGTAAGGAGAAGCTACCATCATCAGCTACTACTATGCACCAGAAACAATTGCATTTCATATATATCACTCATGTTCTCATTTGAGATAGATACTGTTATCACCATCATTCCCATCTGAAAAGATAAAGAAACTGAAGCATTGAGAAGTTCAACAACTGCTCTTCAGTTACACAGCAATTAGTGGTAGAGCCAGGATTTGAACTCAAGAACAGACTCAAAGTCAATGCTCTTAACCATCACACATATCACCTACACTGCTTGCTATTCTTTCTTCCTTGTGATGTTCTATATATTTTAAAGTTCCCTTTCTTTGCATGTTCATCTTTTCTTCCCTCAATTTACTTTCTCTTACTATTTTTTATTTCTAAGTGTCTAAAAATTTTAAATAGTTTCATTTATCTCATAAAAATTCTACATTATTGGTATTCTTGCCCCCATTTCTTAGAAGAGGACAATAAAATACAAAAAGGTTAAAATATAAGCCCGGACAGAATCAGGATCTTTGGAAATCTATCAAAAATCCCAAACCCATGCTCTTTCTACTATACTACATTGCCTGCTGTGTGCTGCTATGTTGTTAAAGGAGAAATAGTGTTCTGGAAGCAAAATGTCTAGAGAGTTTGCCCAGAAAAACACCAAGTTACACAAGGAAGTAGCTGCTTAGACAGTTCTGACCAAAACAAAAAGGTAAAGAAATTTCAAATCCCCCAAATCTTCATATTCCAGAAAGTAACTCAGGCTTGCTCTGGATGACAGAACAATGCAGATAAATTAAGACTCGAGAGGGAAGACTTGAAAACATAAAAAGGGTCAAGAAGAAAAGCACTCAGAAAAAGCTTCCTACAGCTGTTACAAATAGGTATCAAATGAAGGCACTGGAAGGTCAAATACAGAATAAAACTCTATTCCTCAGAGGCAGTCAATGAAATGTTTCATGATCTGACAGAGAACCCAATCGAAGGCATGGATTCTTCCATCATTTGTGGGTTTGAATTCTTAGACTAGGTTTGAATGTGTTACCATAATCTACTTTCTGACAGAGACTGACTACATATAGGTTCAGGCTCCCTGATTTTCTTAACTGGCTAAGACTTATACACCAGATAAGAAAGTCAATTCTACTACTTCGTAACATGAAAAAATGACAGAGAAATATGTCTCCTGATGAACCAAAATTTTCCCTTGGTCTGCAAGAGATTAAATGTAATTCTTCAAAATGCAGCCCTTCTTTGTTAAAGGAGAAAGCCCAATTATGAAATAATGATTCCTCAAAGACCTATCTACTTTTCTAGGCCTGTAGCCAAGGAAATCATAAAAGTAAAATTGAAAAATTTTTGAATAACATCAATTAGCAGTGGTCAGATCTCAAGAGAAATATTTCAACAATTCAAGACATACTCAAGAGAAAATGTTCACAGAATCTAGCCATAACAACACACACTTGGATTGTCACATCAGTGGGGACCACAGTGTGGTACTTTTATAAAGGCATGATTGTATACTTGTATCCACACATACACTATTGGTCTAAAAAACATCAAATTTTACATAGGTTGTGATAAAGCACTGATTAAGCATTGCAATAATATCTATCTTAATATCTTAAGAATATTCTTAAAACGTTTTGAATTCTCTCTCTGCCTCTTAAATAAAAAAATACATTTTAAGTATATGAAAGGAAAAGAAAGGGGTGTGTGTGTTTGGCAGTTAAGATTACAGGTGGGATGCCTGCATCCTATATCAGAGTGCCTGGGTTCAAGTCCCAGCTCCACTCCCAATTCCAGCTTTCTACTAATACACACCGTGGGAGGCGGCAGATTTTGGCTCAAGCAGTTGAGTGCCAGCCACCCATGTGGGAGACCCAGATTGAGTTCCTGGCTCCTGGATTTGGCCTGGCCCAGCTCAAGGCCATTGCAGACATCTGAAGAGGAAACCAGTATTTGTGAGTGCTCTCTCTCTCTCTCTGCCTCTCAAACATATTGTTTTAATACATATTTTTAAAATGAATTCCTGGCATATTTTAACCAAATGAATGTTCTCAGAATAATTAAGAATCTACCAGATCACAAGCTGCAGAATCTAACTGGCTTACAGAAGCTATTTACCAAAAGATCTTGCTTCGGAGTGAAACATCTAACATGAGTTGAGTTTGAATTTTGGGGAAGGGTAATGTATTTTTGAGATAAGGTTCCTCTGGTCTTTGCCCCAATGCTAAAATTTTTTAAAAGAGCAAGAGAATATTAATGTAAAGACAAATAGAAATTTAAAACACAGCATCAGAAGAAATAACTAATAAATTAGTTGACAAAAGATAGGAAGGTTGTGGCAATCATAAAACCTATTTCAAGGTAGAATATTTTACTTTACAAAATTACATCACCTTAAATTGATCATTTTAGAACCATATAAGACTTGCAAACAAGATGTTCAAGTGCTAATGTGCCACTGATTAGCAACAGTAAATCGCTTGATCTCTCTGAACTTATCTGCACAAAGAGAATATTACTTTGCCTATAAAGATTACAGTATAGTTTACAAATCAAAAGAGCTAACATTTAGGAAAACATTTTATAAACCTTAAATATTAAACACAGAGATGTTTTTAAAGAAAGCTGTCCCACATATGTACAGTTTTGCTTTCTGCAGTTTCAACCCAGGTCAATCATAGTCCGAAAATATTAAGTGGAAAATTCCAGAAATAAACATTCATAAATTTCAAATTGTGTGCCATATTAAGTAGCATTGTGAAATCTCTCACCATCCCACTTGGATCCACCCAGAATGTGAATCATCTTTGTCCAGCATATTCACTCTGTGTTAACTGCTCATCTACTCATTTAGTAGCCACCATGGTTAATAGATCTGCTGTCACAGTATAGCAGTGTTTGTGTTCAAATAACCCTTATTTTACTGAAAAATGGCCACAAAGGGCAGAAGTAGGGATGCAGATATGGCACCAGCATATAAAGCATGAAAAGATGGAGTGGATTTAGTGGCAGAGCAGGTTAAATACCTGCTTGGGACACCAGCAACCCCACATCAGAGAGCAGGTTCAAGGCCAAGCTGCTCTGCGTTGGATCCGGTTTCCTACTCCTGCATTCTTGGAGGCAGCAGATGATGGTCTAAGTGTTTGCACCCAGCCATACATGGGGAGACCAGGATGGAGCTCCTGGCTTCTGGCTTCAGCCTAGCTTAGCCCCGGCTTTTGCAGGCATTTGGAGAGTGAACCAGCAGATAAAATGTGTGTGTGTGTGTGTGTGTGTGTTTTCTTCTTTCTCCCCCCACCCCCTTCCTGTCATTCTGTCTTTAAAATAAATAAATAATTAAGTAAGTAAGTAAGTAAGTGGAAGGAAGGAAAGGAAAGATGGAAGTGAAGGAGAAAGGAAGGAAGGAAGGGATGGAGGGAGGGGTAAGGAAAGATAGCCTGTAGAAATCCGAATGATGCCCTGATTACGGTGGGTGATTTCAACACATACCTGTATATAACTGTATATATGGATTAAGAGTTTAGGCTTTGAATTAGAAAAACCTATGTTCAAATAAGTTTGCATCTGGTATCACAGACAAGTTACTTATTCTCTCCAAGGCTGATTTCTCATATACAAATTAGGAATGACAGTGAATACTGTCAGGCTGCTATAGGGCTTACTAAGATAATGTAGGTGAAGTATACTTGTATAATACATAGTATGCAGTAAATAGTCCACACGTCATTGGATTTAAGATGACAACCAATGTATTGTTGCAGACTGTGGAGCCACAGCGAAATGAATCAATTCTCGGTTTTAGTCACCCAGTAACATGTGGCCACTGACAGGTTATTTAAGTTCACTGAGGCTGACTTCTCATTTACAAATTGGGAATGATATTATCATTTCAAGGGATTACTGGGGAAATTCATTAAATAATATTGCACATGTGAAAGTGTGGCTTATCTTAAGTCTCAATGAATATTACGTGCCATTTTCATTCCTTCCCTCTATTGTTTGAATCCAGAAACATTTAAAGTTAGGTATAATATTTCTGTCCCATTCAAAATGGGGGAAAAAAGGCGGCTAAAATCAAAAGTCCAGAAACTTTTATGACACAGGGTATGGAATGCAAGAACTATGTCAGCACTAAAGGAATGCATGCCTAACAAAGAAACAAAAACAATGAAAAGCATGGTTTTAAAAGCTCAAGAAATTTCAACTTGTTGCCAATAGAAATTGTACCACAAAGAAGCATAAGTTAAAAAAAAAAAATGTAGAGTTCCAATCTTCTTAAAAAGACTTTTTTTCTTTTTTGCAATTTAATTGATTTGTTCAACATCACTGAAAACATTTGTTGCTCTTTAAAACACAGTGTTAGGGGCCAATGCTGTGGCATAATATGTTAATCCTCCGCTTGTGGCACCGGCATCCCATATGGGTGCAAGTTCTAGTCCAGGCTGCTCCCCTTCCAGTCCAGCTCTCTGCTATGGCCTGGGAAAGCAGTGGAGGATGGCCCAAGTGCTTGGGCCCCTGCACCCACATGGGAAACCTGGAAAAAGCTCCTGGTACTTGGCTTAGAATTGGCGCAGCTACAGCTGTTGCAGCCATTTGAGGAGTGAACCAGTGAAAGAAAGACCTTTCTCTCTGTCTTCCTCTCACTATCTGTAACCTACCTCTCAAATAAATAAATAAAATCTTTTAAAAAATGTAGTGTTACAATTATATGTCATGCAAAATTTCCAACTTCCAAATATACATGAATACTATATGCATTTTTCTTATTTTCATGTCATTTAAAAAATACTTTCCTTTGAAAAACTAACTTCCACTTATTTAACCTTGGTTTGCTTTTCCCTTTTATTCAGGTTTGCTTTGCAACAGTCAGTTTTAAGAATAACCACCAGATGGCCCATCCCACAAATGATATAACTTCTGGTTTCTGAGATCATTCTCACAAATTTCCTTTTAGCATGATACCATCACACAGATAGACATAGCTGTCATTTTTTGAAAGACTGAATATATCCTCATTTAAATATTCTGCATTCTGTAACATGTAAACAGAAATTTTTATTGTGATATTGATACTTTTGCAATTAATGTTTCCTCTAATTAGTCCTTTAGACAACTAAATTTTAAAATAAATTTTATTTTTCTTTATTCTGCTGTTTACAGATAGTGTTAGTTTTTATTCTTTAGTCTGAATTTTAGACAAAGCTCTGCAGTCTGTATCTATTTGAACAATATGCTAATTGTACTTTATTAGATGTGTTTGCTTAGAGTAACCTACTTGCATTGATATTGGACAACTGCCAATCTGCAGCTTAATGCCACGGTTGTAATTCAATTGTTAGACTGCATGCTGGTTTTCAAATATAGTTTTACAAAATGAGAACAGTAGGGGGCATGCAGAGCTCAAGATGTTTGTTATCACACTGTATTAGGAAACCATATTTTACCTTCTAGAATCTGTGGTCTTATTTGTTTGGCACACTTACTCATTTTTAACTATGTGTACTACGGAATACAAATATGACATCCTTACAAAAACTTTGACTTTATCTGTCAGTATCATACTGCTGCTGTTTTTAATTTATTCCTATGTCTACTTAAAAGAAATTTTTTAATATGTGACTAGCAACGGCATACTTCATATTTTGCATTTTGATTCACAAAAGCATACTGAACTGTGAATGTACTAAACAGTAATGTTTTATGTAAATGATAGTTTATCATCATTTTTGCACTTAAAATTTTATTGAGAATATGACCTAATTCTCATTACAAATGTGAATTCTGTTCTCTCTTTAAATATTCAACAGCTATAAAATGGATGATTATATAAGGCAGGCAAAAACAGAACCACTTCCTTTATGTGGGAGCTTCTTGTTAACAAAATATCTTTACAAATGCCCAATTTAGTGCCTGCACATCGTATCCAAATGCCACAGAATTTTTCAATTTCTCCTTTAGAAAATTCAGTGGTGCAAAGGTTTAGGGCAGGGTAAAGATAAAAATAACCAACTGATCAATGTGGCTTTGCCTTTGCAAGACTGTAGAAATACTGCAGCATGAACAAACATTGGACAAGTGACCTGTTCATTGACTCTGGAATGTGACGGTCCATGATGGATAAGAATCTTCACAATTTCCACATCTCCTTTCCAGGCGGCCAGATGAATAGGAAAATAACCTTTGTTGTCTGCTACATTGGCTGATGCTTCATATTGTAGTAGTTTGAGAACTATGTCCCTAAGAAAGAAATAAAAAACAGGAAAATACAACAGAAAGAAAATATGCTGAACAACACAGGTTTTATTATACAGATAATTATAAGTATACTAGATACTGACAGACAATTTAGAGTAATCATTCAAAGTACTAAAACATAAAATTGGGTTTAGAAGTTTCCTACCCAATATTTGCTTATTTTACTTACCTAGAAAACCACCAGCAATACCAACAACAAAAACACACATATACACACTGCACAAGCACACACACAGACCACTGACCAACCAATGAAGTTGCTTTATAGAAACCATTTGGACAAAAAATATATTTTAGTAACTGAATGAGTAGTTAAATAAATAAAGAGAATATCTCTCCCCATTTTTAAAAAGAGGTATTTTTCCAGTTATCTTTCATCTGATTTATCTTGAAAAAAATGATGAGGTCACAAATTCCCTGTTTACAGAAAAAGTTACCATAATACCAAAGATATTTAGGGAGTCTATACATCGTTCCTAGAGTAAACTGGAATGAGATATTGAAGATGCATATAAAACAAAAGACAGCACATTAAGTAAGAGACTCCAACAAGTTGTCTGTAATAATACTCCAGGGTTTTGCTGTGTTTTTTGGTTTTTAAAGATTTATTTATTTATTTGAGAGTCAGAGTTACACAGAGAGAGAATGAGAGGCAGAGAGAGAGGTCTTCCATCCACTGGTTCACTCCCCAATTGGCCGCAATGGCCGGAGCTGAGCCCATCCGAAGCCAGGGGCCAGGACCATTTTCTGGGTCTCCCATGCTGATGCAGAGGCCCAAAGACTTGGACCATCTTCTACTGCTTTCCCAGACCACAGCAGAGAGCTGGATGGTATGTGGAGCAGCCAGGATTCTCAAATGGGCACCCATATGAGATGCCGGCACTGCAGGCGACAGCTTTACTTGCTATGCCACACCATCGGACCCTACTCCAGGGTTTAAACAAAAAAAGAGTTTAATAAAAACTCCTGAGCCATTGTACATAACACATTTTCAATGTGTGTTGTTCATACTCCTGTGTTTCTTCATCTTTTTCCTCCAAGCCAAAGAAATGACAATATAAGGGAACTTTATTTAATTTAAAGGAAAATTTCCACCACTGATGCACTTTAAACACATATTCACTATGTACTACCTATAGGATTTTATACTCAATCCCCATCAGGTATTCCAAATAAAAATTCTGAAATCTAAATATTTAAGTTCAGGAAGAATTATTTGAGATTATCAAAATAAATTGTATTACTTTGTATCAAATAATAAAAAACTGTAAAGTAAACAAAAACTGTTTCTTTTGCACGCATTTAAGAAACAAATTCTAGGGGCTGGCTTGGCGGCTTAGCAGGTAAAGCCACCGCCTGCAGTGCTGGCATCCTATATGGGTTCCCGTTCAAGTCCCAGCTGCTCCACTTCTGATCCAGTTCTCTGCCACGGCCTGGGAAAGCAGTAGAAGATGGCCCAAGTCTTTGGGCACCAGCACCCAAGTGGAAGACCCAGAAGAAGCTCCAGGAGGCTTTATATCAGCCCAGCTTTAGCCACTATGGCCATTTGGGGACTGAACCAGTAGATGGATGTTTCTCTCTCTCTGCCTCTGCCTCTCTATAACTCTGCCTTTCAAATAAATAAGTAAATCTTAAAAAAAAAATTTATTAACTCACTAAATGAAATCCTAGATAGATACATATAAATACATACATAAACACACATATACAGTTGCAACATATAGCAGTTTCTTATATAACAAATCACTAATGGGAGGGTGAATATAACAGAAAAATCTAAATTTTTCATAAAATCAGACCCCAAATGAATATAACAAATATAAAAAAGTGAAGAAGCTACAAATGAAAGCAAGGTGAGACTAAAAAGGGTAAGTTACCAGAAAAACAGATAACAACACAAAATTATAACAAATGGTAAAACACATTGCCCAGAATGTGGCCTAACTAAAGGTATAAAATCATAATGAAAGAACCAAGAATCTGCTATAGAAATTTTTAGAACGTTCTAGGGGCCCTAATTTTTCTTCTGATAAATTTCTGAGAAATTGAGAAATAGTTTAACAGGTCTTCTTGAAAACTGATATTATTTTACAAGATCTGAATTTAGAAGGTTTGAATTTGAGTACCAGGTATGCAAACTACCTAAGGCCGGGGCCCCAGAGACATTACTTTTTCTTTTCCAGAGGAGCTTACGTAATAACACCAATGCCTACTATTTAAGACTTGGTAAGAAGATTAAGGGAGATCATTGAAAAGAAATTACTCAATAAATATTAAGGCATTATACAAACACCAGTCCTTGTCCCAAGTAAAAATAAAATATTTTAAAAAGTGAAATGTTCACAGCAAATCACCTTTGAAAAAGAGAATCTGAAAATTAAAGAAAACTTGAAAGTTAAACACTTCACATGTTTCTCCCAATTTCACTGCCATGAAAGATTTCTTATGTAGAGCCTTCCACATGGAGAGGACTAAATAAACTCAATGAAGTAATGAGGATTCAGTACTTCTGAATAACAATAGCAGCTAAGAGCCACAAAATCTGGTTTAAAATCAGAAATCTCAGGGCCGGCTCCATGGCACACTAGGTTTATCTTCTGCCTGCGGTGCCAGCATCCCATATAGGCGCCGGTTCTAGTCCCAGTTGTTCCTCTTCCAGTCCAGCTCTCTGCTGGGAGGGCAGTGGAGGATGGCCCAAGTGCTTGGGCCCCTGCACCCGCATGGGAGACCAGGAGGAAGCACCTGGCTCCTGGCTTCGGATCAGTGCAGTTCTGGCTGTTGCAGCCACCTTGGGGAGTGAACCAACGGAAGGAAGACCTTTCTCTCTGTCTGCCTGCCTCTCTCTCTCTCTCTCTCTCTCTCTCTCTCTCTCACTGTAACTCTTCCTGTCAAATAAATAAATAATCTTTAAAAAAATCATAAATCTCTATAACTTCCTTATTTAATCTGAACAAATCAAATAACCTCTCTCTCTCAGTTATTATTAAAATAGAACTTAGAGACGGTTTCTCACTACCTGTATCAGATGGTTATGGTGTGACTCAAATGAGAAACAGGCATGATGGTAAAATTATGTATAATCAAAAGCTATTCTCAAGCAGGAGGTAGCACTGTAAACAATTCTGTCATATTTTTAAAATAAAATATTACAGCCCTTACAAAGTAAAATAATACTAAAGAAATGTGGTCAAATTAAAATTCCAGTATTTAAAAATAATTCATTTTACCACAAAACAGACGTCTCCAAATTAATGTTAAAGACAATTTTGAAGGAGGTTTTAGTTATATTTATCAATGCCTAACTCAATAAAGAAAAACCTGAAATATCTTCTCTTTTCAAGAGGGAAGACTAATCAACTCATCAATCTTTTTTTCTTTTACTCTCACTCAAAACAATCCAAATTCCATTTGTCCTTTGACTAAAACTTGGTTGACATTTTCTAATACTATATGTGATACGAATTAATTTATTTTGTTAGCAAGATTTATGAAACAATAAAAAAAAAGCCTATTTAAAAGCTGACTTACTGTTCATTTGTATTATATAGTGTTATATTGTGTTTCACATTGTATGTTATGCATATTATATTGTATTATGTTGTATATAACTAAATTGGGAAATAATGTATATTTATGAAATTGCCATTGATAAACATCAAGGTCTCAAATATTATTACTTTTTTAAAAATATTTTTATTTATTTAATATTCTATATTTTATTTTTAAAGTTGTTTTTAAATTTTTATTTAAGTTGCACTTTTTATCTTATCGAGATATCAGCAATGAACTGACTAGGCTCACATAGTATAGAAACTATCTTTGTGAAATAAAAAGTTATATCTTTGATCAAATGCCTATCAGTTTTACTGAATATAAGATAGACAAAATAAATTAACAAATTGTCATTAATCTTATTATATATCCACTAATATCACAGCTAATATGAATTAAATAGAACTTTTTATCCAGGCTCATTAAGAACAAATTAAATTCAAGGTATTTTTTCTTCATATCTGAGAGGCATAAAGACAGAGTTCTCATCCACTGTTTCAGTCCCTAAATGCCCACAATGGTTGGAGGCTGGAGGCTGAAGCCAGGAGCCAGGAACTCAATCCAGGTCTCCCAGGTGGATTACAGGAACTCAACTGCATGACCCATCATGACTGCATCCCAGGGTCTGCATCAGCAGGAAGCTGGAGACAAGAGTCACTATCGGGCATTAAACACAGGTACTTCAAGGTGGGATACAAGCATCTTAACCTGCGTCTTAACCACTAGGCCAAATGCCTGTCCTTTGGGTACTTTCTACAATGTACAAATTAGAAGAGTAGTTAACACTATAACAACACCATTTGACATCATTTTTCTATTTTTACAAGGGCTGAGCCTAATATCTTATTCACAGGTATTAACAAATGATCATGTTGACACTGCATGGTTACCTGGCATGAAATATTAAATTATATTGCAAATTAATGTCTGTAGAACATCAAGTAGCAACATAATCCCTATGTCTTCAACATAAAGTAGCAATGCTTCTTACATCCAACTTTTGAAAACTAAGAAATGTTATAAAATCCTAAAGTAAGTATGACTGACAGGGCACCAGAAAACTAATTCCAGGTCCCAGAGGTAAAACAAAACATCAAATTAAATTTAATAATAATCCAATTTAAATTATCAAAACATTTTGCAGCTTGAATCTAATTTACAAAAATTCAAGTGAAAATAAAAATTCCAAAAGTATTGTTTTGTGACTATATTTAATTTGTATTTATTTTCTGATCTCTAAAATATACAGCTGATTGATACAAAAACCTTTCAAGAAGTTCAGTATATGTTCTGAGCAAAATTAATTAGGAAGATTCAATATTCAAATTTCTTTGACTCAAAAATGAGATTAAATTACAACTGAAGATGTTTGTTTTATTTCATCCTCCCGTAGATGGTAGCATGCAAAGAACTTTGAAATAAATGTAAGA